TCTTAAGAGTGGCTATTTCTCCCTCTAGGGGCCCACCTCCTACAGCTGCTTCTTTTCTAAGTGAAAAGAGTTGAGAGGCACACAAAGTTGAGGGACTCAAACCAGACACCTAAGTCCAGCATTCTTCCCTCCCACCATGCCAAGGTCCTTTAACCACATCATGCATCCAACCTCCAGATTGGCTTCCCTGTGAAATTCCTGCTTCAGACTGAGACATTCAAGCAGGTGTGAGCCACCTGAAAGCTGGGCTGATAATTCATGTAATAGCAAAGCTCAAAGCGGGCCCACAACCCACGACCATGCTGTTTATCAGCAGCACTCCTTTATTCGCTGGTCTCTTTGGTGCAATGTCCTAAGTCTGTGGCTCCCAGAGCACAAATGAATTCTCTGCATGCAGTCTGGAAAGTCATCTGGGTCCTCAAAAGGCTCACTTTAATGAGCTGGAAGAGACCCAGCAATAGAAGGCAATCAATCATTTGTTAGGCAAGCAGGAAAACTTGCCAAATCTCAGACAGCCATCTAAGAAAATTAAAATTGAAGTTGTCTTTTCTCACCCGTGCAAGATCTGGATAGTATCTGATGGGTCCCGTCTGGGAAATGCTGTTGAGAAGGGTCACCTGTATCTCTCCACTCCTCACAGAGCCCCTTACCCACCAACAGCTAGCTGAGGTTTTAAGGTGATAAAGACAGGAGAACACCACACTTAAGTCAATGGCTGAACTTCGCACTGGCAGCCTCTAGGCAAACCCAGACAGCATCATACTAAGGACACAAAATCTGCCAATACTCTGCCTAGTGGGAGTCCAATCAAGAGCTTCCCTGTAGACAATGGTGTCTCTACTGAAGGCTTAGAATGTGACTTTTTTTTAAAAAAAAAAAAAAAAAATCTTCAAATATCTCAGGTTTGCTTTGATTTTTTAAAAGCCATTCTAGATTTCCCTTTAGTAACTCCAACTCCTTAAATCTATTTGTAGTAACAGGCATTTGTAAAACTGAAAATCGTATTTTTAAGTGTCTTTCAGTGGTCCTTTAGTGTCATGTATCAAGATCCTCAAGTTTTTAACGACAAGAAATTCTACCAAAGCAGAGTAAGGAAAACTGGGCTCTGCAGCAATAGCAGTCACCTCCGCTGAGGACTCAGGAAAGGTACCCTGGCACCCATTCTCATGGGATCACCAGGCTTGCTCTTCCCTTGCCACTGGTGTGAGCAAATGGCTCCTGCAGACCTCTGTCAGTGCACCTGTGCTGAGCACTGTGTGTAGCCTGGAAGGCAGCTCTCTCAGGGCCGTGTTTGTCTACCCTGTGACAGTATTGATTAATCCAGGATCTACTAAAATTCTTAAGGACACTGGGGTGGGCTCGAAGAAATCCAAACAAATATTGGAATAGATTCTGTACAATTTAAAATCATTCACACCTGCATCTCTCCCTCCATCCAACCAGTCTGAACCTCACCTACTTAGGTCTCAAATGATACCAGCCATGAGACCCCCTTTTTGCCCTGTTTTCCCAAACTGCAAATACTACTCACAGAGTTAGTGATGTTTTCTGAGATATAATGCATATGTCATACCATTTACACAGTGGAACAACCACCAAATTACCTTTTAACATTTCCACCATTCCCGTGTCTATTATTATCAGCTGCCTTCCATTGGTAGTAGTCCTCATACCCTACCCTACTCCAATGAACTTACTGCATCTACAGATTTGTCTATTCGGGCATTTTATGTACATGAAATATATCATGTTTCCTCCCGTGACCAACTGATTCCTTTCAATGTGCTTTTCTTGAGGATCATCTATACTATATGTCAGTACTTTTCTTCAATAAACTTCCCCCCCCCAAAAAAAACCCATAATTTTCCATGGTATATGTAACTTGCATCTTGTTAATCCATCTTCAGCTGATAGATTATTTCTACTTTGGGCAATGATGAATAAGGATATATTTATGGGTGGGTTTTGTATGGGTGTATGTTTTCATTTCCTTGGGGTCAATTGTACTGGCTAGTTTTGTATCAATTTGACACAAGCTATGATCATCTCAGAGAAAGCCTCAATTAACAAAATGCTTCCATAAGATGGGCTATAAGCAAGCCTAATGGGCATTTTCTTAATTAGTGAGTGATGGGGGAGGGCCCAACCCATTGATTGTGGGGACACCACTGATCTGGTGGGCTGGTTCTAAGAAAGTAGGCTGAGCAAGCTCTGAGGAGCAAACCAGTAAGCAGCACTGCTCTATGGCCTCTGCATCAGATCCTACCTCTAGGTTCCCACCCTGTTTGAGTTGTTTTCGTGGTTTCCTTTGATGAACAGTAATTGAAAGTGTAAGCCAAATAAATCCTTTCCTTCCCAAGTTGCTTTTGGTCATAGTGTTTCATCATAGCAACAGTAACCCTAAGATACTCCATAAAATACAATCCTAACTTTTGGATCTATTCCACTCATTAAAACTCTTTTGTCCTATGGTCCAATCTCTTGGAAGCCAGTGTTTAGTTGGACAATGTCCTCAATATCCCAACCCAAATGACCACGCTCATCTGTTGCAAGCTCTCAGAAAACCCTGCAGCCCCCACCCTCAGTTACCCATCCCTTAGGATACAACCCCTTTGTCCAGCTACTAGGTCACCTTAGGATCGCTGGTGCACTGGCTATGCCAATCACTGCAGTTCAGCTGCAAATTTTAATTTCTCTAAATGTACATGACTTATTCTCATGCAGCCCAGGATTACAGGAGACATCAATACTACAAGGAATATAACATTCACACATTATTTATCCAGGATCTCACTGCCTGTGTATATATAAAGATTATTACAGAGCTTAACAAAAAAGGGGGAAAATTCTGGGACCTCCCCTCAACTTCTGGTCCACTTCATCAACCCTTCTACACTGACTATAATTCAGAAGCAGTTCCAATTTCACCTTGCACCAAAGAGAAAAAACTTTTTCCTGCTTTTATAGTTTTTTGCTTATTTACATTTTAACCCGCTGTGTTCACTGCGTTTAATTAGCACAACCTATATCTGAACAGCCACAAGGTCACCTTGCTCTCAGTGGCCAAGATCCTAAAGAAAAGTGACTCTCAGTTCCTCAGCAGTCATCAACTGTCAATAGCTCCTCAGCTAGTGGTGGGACCTTGAGAATATCTCACCCCCAAACTATATTTTAAAGCTGATGCGGCAAAACAGAACTCCAAGGTGTTCTGTCTGACAAACAGAATGGCACTCCCTTACTGTAAACATTAAGCAAATTAAATGTTTAAGCAACTATGATGTTTCTCACTAGACCAGTTTACCTTTGACTTCTAGAAATTCCATTTCACATTAAATTTTAAATGATCCATCCTGTCCTTCCCATAGCAACAGAAGGAGCCCATCTTCTCCATGAGGGGCCTTCAGCCTTTGAGCTCTCACCCTTCTCTGTCACTGTCCTCATGACCTGCTGTACTTGCCTCTGCCTCTTGGCCCAAGCTCTCCCTCCTGCTGACTCATGCCTATCAGCATTTTCAGAGACTGAAATTATTTACCTTACAAAGACAGACCAGGATGGATTTGGGAACAGAGACAGACAGACAAAGACAAGCCTCAGGGAATGTGGCTTTGACCCAGGGGAAGACAGACAAGAGACCTGAGTAACATTTCAGAGGTGTGACATAAATGGCATTTTCCATCTTAGAGACAACGTGTATTTTAATAGCTTTTGACTCAGAGCTGACAGCAAAAGTAACACTTTAAACAAAGTGACAGGCCAGGAGATGGATATTTTCCAGCAGAAAAATCTCTGGGCAGTCAGCTCACTAATGTGACAAAGTTGTCTATCCAGACAGTTTCAAAAGCTGTTCATTCCATGTGGACCGTGATACGCAGGGCACTCTGTCACTCAAGCCTACCAGTCAGGTACTGAGTGGAGAGGGAAATATGCAGACAGAAGAGAGGAAAACTCACCCTGCCCTCCCAGGCCACATATAGGGACATGTAGGTACACATCAAGGGAGAAGTGTCATCTGCATTGTGACATTGTTGGAGCAGCCATCAGTAGCAAGGTGGCTGCAACACACTTGGCTTCCCAGTAGACTGGCTGTCCTGCAGTTGTGAAAACGATCCACTGGAACTTGCTAATTAGTCAGGATGCAGGTGATGCTCTTTGGAGACGACAACTAGAAACCCCTCAGCTCAGCTGAGAGTTACTCACCAGGTTGGAAATTTGCATGTGGGTTCCTCTTCTTCCTTTATCAGAGATTCAAACATTGATTGTTCTCAGGGTTAAATCTGAGTGGTAACTTCCTCATCCCCACACACTCTCCCTACTGGGAACCATCAGTTCCCAAGGTTGGGTACCATGCATAGGCCAAGAGCTCCCTGAACTGCATACTGCATCCAGCTATGAGCCCCCTCTCCTTGAGTGACAGGAGTAGGGGATCTAAAATAGAAATGGCTTCAATAAATACTTTCTTTCCTTTCCTCAAGAGCCTCCCTTCATCCTCCTTCCTACTTCCCTGGTCTCAGCAGACAGAATTTCCATCTACCCACTGTCCAAAGTCAGCAACACAGATCTATAACCAGCATGGGGGCTGGGGTTATGGCTTCCAAGTCCACAGGTCTCTGACAGCTACCAGTCATGTGCCTTAGAGATGGGTAATTTCTCCATGGTTCTACTACCAACCTATGAAACTAAGTCCTAGTCGATTAATCAACACCCATACATCACTCAGCATAGCAGGGACATTCCCTCTCATTATCATGCAAACCAACAATGTGGGGAAATAATTTTGAAGTATATTAATATGTTTTTCTCTCCCACATTTCTTCTATATAACATCCTCCTTTTTCAACTCAGGGCATTAATCTGTCACAGAAGATTAGGATTGTTATAGTAGGAAGACAAAGATGAATGAAAGGTGCCACATGGTTCAGCCTTTGATGACCAAAATAAACATTTTGGTTCCTAGCATGACTGCCTTGAAATTCTGCCAGTGGGTGTGGAGATGCAATGTTTCAATGTCTATTAGTTTCAGCTTGGCTACTGTGAGTCAAGTCTGCAGATTCAATAAACATCATGGCCAGAGAGAGTTCAGAATATGGCATGATATGGATCCCACTGGCTGAGGAGAGCCTGAAGAAAAGGGGGCAGAAACAAAGAACAATCATTCCCTGTTTGAGCCTTTATCCCCACTTCTCAGATTTAGAAAAGATTTAGGGGAATCCCACGGGACAGACTTAAAAAGGCAAACCTCTCAGGAAAGGCTGGGTTTGGTTTTGATACCTCTGGTTTGTGTGTGTAACAGCAGATGGAAGCCATGGGAAGCAGTATATAATGAACCCAGGGGATGTGATGGGTGAGGGTAGAAATGTTTGTTGTCAAAGTTAAACAGGGTCTTCCTTCTCAAGAGTAAGCCATTGCTCTAGAACTATGTATGACTCAGCTAAATGAACACCCCTGCTCTGTCCTATTAAAAAAAAAAAACTTTTTTGGGCAACTGACCACTAGGATAACAAAGACTGATGTCATTATCTCTAAGCACATTGCCCCATCAGATCAACTCTATAGCAGAAAGAGTGCTAGAAGAACATAAAGCCTAGTTATAGCAAAGACATGGCTACTTAGCTATGGTGCAAGACCATTTATAACCATGATGGGCACCCAGAATATTCTACAGCAATGCTTTACCAACCAACGTCAGAGCGACCAGAGTCTGGAGACACAGGAGAATGGAACAGAGTCACAATCCTCCACTCTAGATAGACTAAAGCTGGGATTCTAGTTCAAGTATGGAAGCAACCATATAGGATAGTTAGAAAAGGCTGGAATATACACCCAGTCAAGTCTCTCAGAATGGTAAGCTCTCACATGACAGATGGTAATCAGAGCAGGAAGAGTTCAATCTGGTGAAGACAAGACAAATGTTCATCCCCAGTTGCTTCATTAGGAGGCAGATGCTAGGGCAGGAGTAGTGGGGTTGCAGATGTCTGTCCACCTTGGAGTGCTTCCAAAGAGTGGAGCGGCCGAGTCCAGAGGGAACTGCAAGTTTCCACCAGACTGAGTTATCACACACTGAAAATGAAAATGCTGAGGAAGAAATGTTTTGTCCCAGATGATGTGACCTCAAAAGTCTTCCTCTGTCAGGAAGAGACACACTCCTCACACACAGTACATCATATCAACACACACACACACACACACACACACACACACACCAAGATAAAATATAAGAGAATCTATAAATGTGAGAAAGTAAAATGAGCAATACTGTGGAAATGGCAACCCTGCACAATTGGGAAGAAAAATCTCTGCTGGTGACTGCTGAGCTGGATTTGTACATGTCAGGTAATTATGATGGATCAATAAGGGCAATGACGAATGGAATGACTCTCTGGGAGCCCAGTGACCCAGTGGGGAAACAGAACAAACCAGAGTGAGCATTGATCCTGAGCACCCCAACTGAAGAGTGCTCCCTGCCCGCCCCCTCCCCTGACCCACACCAGCTAAAAGTAATGAGAGAACTAACTAGTTCACACCTACATCAGCAGGCCTTCAGCAATCTCCCAGGAAAACTAGCTATTCTTAGCTAGTAAAGGCCAGTGATCAGAAAGGTTACGTAGCACGCAAATTTTCTCCTCCTCCATCTTTGCTACTAGGTTCAAGGCATAATCTAAAAAGAAATCCCATAATTATATATACATATTCTTGGTGTTGGTTCTTATAAGGATGTTAACTCCCCCCCTTTTTTTTTCCAAAAGAGGACATCTTTTTAAGAATAAATCATTCGTCATGAAGCATTTTATTCTTTGGTTCTGGGAATGTAGAGGACCAGCAAATTAACTTGCCATCTTTTAGCCGCAGGTGCTGCCTCTTGGGCATCCAGCATCATTGATCTCTAACACAGGTGGGGGCCAGACAGGCATAACTGGCATTTGTTGTTTAAGCTTGTCCTCAGAGTCCCTGAAGGACACACACACATGGGCTGCCCTATGGCATTGCTAGGCTGCAATCTCAGTACTTTAAAGTCTTCCCAGGGGTTCCCTGATGCATCCAGGGCAGCTGATAAAGTTGGAGGATCCCACCATCTAACTGGTTTTCAAATTCGGAGACCCCTTTCCTTGACCATTACTTCACAGTGAGGTGTCAAAAGCAACCCAGCAGAACATGAAGGCTTGGGGGCAGGGGTGATCAAAACCCATCACAAGGACTCCATGAACACTAGCTCTGGAATACCCTGACCCACAGAAGCTAATCCATCCTAGAAGTTCCCTAAACACTAGCCCAAAGACTTGAACCTTTTCAAAATTACTAATATGGCATGTTCACCTCCAATACATTATTTTTCTATGCCACCATATTATTACACAATTACAAATATATAAATGACACCTCAAAATTTAAAGACATGGAAGAAAACTTTTAATGTATTTTCCACACATAACTAGTTGAATCATCCCCCAAAACCTACTGTACTTATGAAGATTGAAGGCCATTGCCATTTGTGAAAAGCCATTTTCCGGCCTCTAACACAGGTCTCAGGTGAGAGCTCTCTCAAGCTACTTGCTATAAGATAATTGGAGTATAAGAGATGGCTGCTCAATCTTACAGATCCACTTACCTATTGGTGATGATCATGTGGTTGGTATTGCCCCCAGACTCTACCATAGGAATGCCTGGGCACTCAAAGTTCAGTTTCTCAGATCATAAAACCAAAAGCTGTTAAACATATTTAAGAATAGCACCATGCTCCCCTAGACAGATTAAAATCAGAATTGTAGAGTTAGGTCTGGTGGTATTACCTGTAATAGCCCCTAGGAGGACTGTAGCAAGTTTCAGGTTAACCTCACCAACATAGAGGACAGCCTAGGTTACAAAATAATAAGCTGTCTAAACAAGCAAAAAATCTGGAATTATAGAAGTTACTTGTGGTTTCCAAGGAGTTTATGAGAAAGTCTACAAGAACTTCACAGGGCACATAGAACAGGAAGGCCATGGGTGGCTCTTCATTCATAAGACTCAAAGTAACATCAGCTTTGAGGCTATCAACCAAGGGGTCCTAAGGAAGTGTAGCAATTTCCTCTAAACTGGAACATTCCATCCTGAAAAAGGCTGCTTACAATCCCCAAACTAAGTAAACTTACAAGTCTCTTGAAGTTCCTGAAACTTACAAGATTCTCAAGGGCCCTTCCCTAAGGTTATATAAATAGTAATAATAACTGAGAAGAAGACTCTCAGAACTGTGAGATTTTCAGGCAGCTCCAGGGACACATCTTTTGTGAGCTGTCTCCTATGCTGCGGTGGGCTTTTTGAAGCTTCAGCTGCCTTTGAGTCATCCATGTTCCTGCAAGCAACCTTTCACCCATATTCCTACACATGCTCAATAAACTTGCTGTTTCACTAAGCTAGGCTTGGGTGGAATTATTTCTTTGGTCTGCTAATTGGTACTTTATCTGGGGTGAATAGACATTTGCTCACATCTCCCCCAGGAAAAGTCATGTAACACCTACCCAATTTTGAATTCTCCTCTGAGTACCATCTCCTCTAGGGCACTGTACTATCATGGCACAAATCACATATTACTCTCCATGTCATCACTACCAACACCATGTCTTATATTCAATGAATGCCCTGTGCTACAAGTCACACAAAAGCACTTGTACTTATCAACCTGTTTAATCATAAGGTAGACATTACACCTCTATTCTTTTGATGATGACGCCCTAAGGACAACAGTGAGGTGGATCAGCAGAGCTTGGTCATCACCCCACCAGACTGTACCCTTTGCCACACACACACACACACAGCATCCTGGTTTGAGAAACCAGATGTTATCCCTGTCCTTGGGACCCTAGTTTATCCACCTTTCTTCATACACCTTCCTTTGCTATTACAATCAGGCATGTCAGCATGCATGGTTCACAGCTGCTCTGTCTTCTGGGATATGCAGGTGGAAATATGTAGCTGAGAAAGAAAAAGAGTGGTTACCACAGCATGAAAGGCATTACTGTGATATAAATAGAAAGAAACACCATTCCATCCTGTCCAACTTCAGCTTCTATTAGCCGTTTTCACCGAAAACCATTTCTGACACCTTGAAAAACGAATCTTGCTTACATGTCACCACATTATTAATTTCAGAGATGCATAGGGGGTGACAAGCTTGACTTTGACACCAGAAAAAGTCTATATAATGAGAACAGTATGAAATAAACTCAAGTGCTCAAGAGCCCACCTCTCTAGAGCATAGCCCAACACAGGGCTCAGTCACTCTACACAGTTGAACCCTTCTGTGCCTTCCAGGAGCCTGAGAAGGCACACACATGTGCACACATAGGCACATACACACAGAGACACTCATGCATGTGTACACACACACACACACTCACACTCACACTTATGCTCAAAAGGGCAATTGAAGCACAAGAACCTGACCAGGAGGAAATGGGATATTGTTGACTGGTACAGCCCAGAGCACTGCTGATCAAACTAGCAAAAGCACAGGCTTCAGCAAATTTCAGATCATTTGAGTTCCTAGCTCACATCTTCTTCTATGAGATTAAATGAATGGCATTTGAAGACAAACTGAACTACCAGCTGGTTCCTCCATTAATGGAACTCATCAAGATTAAGACATTCTTGTATACCTGTGTGGTGACTGAATTCAGAGCCTTATGTATGCTAGGTAAATGCTCTCACTGAGTGAAATTCCAAGCTCATATTCTTAACTGATAAAGAACTGAGAACAAAATCATTGAATTTGCACATGTAGCAAACTAGAAAGGTCATATATGATTCAAAATTCAGAAGGCAAAAAATGTATACATACTTAAGGATTCATAGCAAGTTCAGTGGGATATAAAATACTAGACAATATTGATCAGCACATGTGTTCATGCACATGCACTACACCTCACAGCAACACACAAGTGCAGGGAAAGAAGACAATAAATCTTAAGGTGGTTTGAAATTACAGTGCCAGAAAGTGGTTACTTGGAGCTGATAGGATGGATTTTATCTCAGGACAATTGTGGGAGTAAAGGAAGTGCTATAATGATTGTGGTGATGGTTACATGAGTTGTATACATGAGTCAGAACATGTTATACTAGTTTCCCAATATGTCCAATTGCATTAGACATTGCTGCCAATCATTGAAGACTGAAGTTCTAGGACCTATAATCCTTGAGCATGGATATGGTTGAAAGGGAACACAAGTTTAACACATTAAAAATGTACTGAAAAGCAATACAAAGTGACAGCCTAAAATAAATACTTTCTGTCTTCTTTCACAGAAATCCATTCTAGGAAGTAACTTCATCCCAATTCAGAAAACCACCTAGTGAGCAGATGATGAGTCTGAGAGATGGGTGGGGATGGTTAACACAGCACCCAGAGGTCCTTGCTAGACATGCTGTCTGGCATTCTTATGCCCCACAGTCATTGCTGAAGGCTCTTTTCTAACATGGAATAGTGCTGCACATAAAATAAAGACTACTAGTGAAATACCTCCAAATGTGTGATTTTCATTCAGGATTTAACATCCCAAAGAAGTGCTGCAAATACGTCACTGTTAAAGAATATTTACATCCTTTAGGGGGTGGGATCAGCACATAGGGCAACACTCAGGACATAGTTTTAAAATCATACACACGTCAGGAAAAAATAAAGAGCTACCCCTGGATCTACCATCTGGAGCTCCTCCTGCACCATGTGCTGGTGCCGCTAAGAGTCACACTTACATCACATGTAACGATGGCGAGGCAAGTACAACTCTGCGCAAAGATGAGCAGCTATCAAGTCAGTGTTTCATCTCACTATGAAATCCAAGCCAAACTACACTGCCCACTTATGAAGCTCGCAGGGGCCTCCTCCCTCACATGCAACAGTAGTCAATGACATGCTCTATACCTCTGACAAGTAGGCCACAAAGATTACGATAGACAACTGTCACCCACTCCTAACTTCTTGAATTTGATGATTTCAGAGGCGAGAACCGTGCCCTCCTGACAAGAGGATGACCCTAAGCCATGGATGGCAGGGACAGGCCATTATCCATCAACACTCAGTACACCATGATCACTGGAGGGGAAGCCTAGATCCCCATGCACACAGATGACTCACAGACAAGCCAAATGTATCCCTGGGTTGGTCTACCAATGATGTTCTCACACAGAGAACATGAAATCTCCACCGGGAAGCTCTTTATACCCCAGACTTCCAGGAACCACAACAAAGAATCTACTAAAGATAAATAAACAAACAAATGAAGCAATATATCATCTAATTTGATCCAAAAGCAAGCTTTGAATTTGGCTTACAGATAATTGTGCCCCCCCCCAAACCATCTCAAGTTCTACCTACTGCAGCTCAAACAGACACTGGCACATCCCAAGTCTATTCTCATGCACACAAGAGTACTCTACCTCCATGACTACAAACTTGTCAGTTATTTTGATCCCAGAGATGGAGAGTGCATAGCTTTTCTTCTTTCCTCTCCCGTTAGACCCCTACCATGTGGAGAGGATCTGAGCTGTCAACTCTTGACAATCAAGGAGCCCCCCATCTCCACTGATGCCATCATGAAAAGCCCTTTTCCTGGTCACCACACAGAGCTATCTTTAGTTTTTTACCAGGAACACTTTTCTCATTACGGACACTCACTTTCACCGATGTTTCCACTCAAAAGTCTGTCAAGGGCCTTGAACTAAAACACTGTTTTCACTGAGCACAGGCTTTCCCCTTCCTGGGCTTCATCTCCAGGGAGGCAAAGCTCCTGCTGGGCAAGAGTGTGTGTTTTAGCCATAGCCAGGAGCCATGCCACTGGTCCATGCAGCTGCACTCCCCACCCCTGAGTTCCAGGCAATGACAATTTCATCTTTCATTGTTAGTCACATCTTGGCAGCATTGAGCAGACAGATGGGGAATGTGGGTGCTCAATTACCTTGGCTACCTGAGCAAACAGACTTGCTTTGCAGTGTTCCTATTATTTTCAGAAAAAGCAACTCAAAAAAACACAAATAGCTTTTAAAAAGAATTAGACCCAGCCAGCTCAGAGAGATGACCACTCCCACCAATGAGGCTGGGAAATGCACCAAACCAAACTCACTGCAGAATCTGAGGTACTTCTTAACTTTCCACTGAGGGGAAAACTCTAGTTCAAGACCCTCAGTGTGGCCTTGAGGACCAAAGTCTGTTCTGCTTCAGCAAGCCTATGGGAGCAGTCAGTGAACATTCTTCTTGGCTAACACAGGAGGTTGTGAAAAAAACCACTTGTCTGGGATTCCACCTCAACCCATGTGATTTAAAGACCATGGAACATTGTCTGGAGGCCTGTCCCATATCAAGGGGTAATTAATTTATGTGAAACTCTGAGAAACAAATACATCCATGTGTCAATTATTCTTCATTCATTCTTGAGCAACAATCATGTGTCCTGGGGTTAAGTGTGGGTGACATAAGAAACAACACCGAACCACAGTCTCACTCTTAATTCTCTGCTGTGTTCATTCCACACAGGTAGGTGGATAACTTATGACAAAACAAGTTATTTCTACAACAAACTAATCTTCTCATGAGAAAGCATTCTTACCCTTGGTAATGGCACAGAAGCAGTGAAGGAAAAGACTGTTATGAAATAGGATCCACCAGAGATCAGCTGTTCTTTGAGCAGCGCAGACATCACATCGTGTTCTTATCCAGTCAACATACACATCCATACTTCTCCAGGACAGTGTTCCACAAACAGTGCTACATAGAACATTGGTCCCCTGAGATAATCTCTGAAAACAGTTTTGTGTCTAAATATGATTTGTAAATCCAGAAAAATTCAGCCCGTTGATGTAGACTCAGAATGCATCCGTCAAGGCTCTGGGAAGTTCTGCTGTGAAGATGGTTGACTTTAAGGTTAATTCAGCATTCCCTATGTTCATCTGATCACCTTTTTACCTCTTTAACAGAAGGCCTTGCTTACTTCAGTAGCGAAAGGCCTCCACAGTCCAGCCTGGGCTCACCTCTGTAACTCACAATGATCTATGGAGCACCATGAAGCTAAAACCTTTGCCTTTGTTCATAATGGCTTTATCAATACAACATACACACAAACACTAACATATCCCCCCCTGCGTCCCCCCACACACCCCTGACAGACAACAGAAATTACTTTCTATGTCCCTCAAACTGCAATTCTAGAAAACCAGTGACTTAGCCATAAAGGTGTCTCAGTTGTAAAGTACAAGATATGGTTTTGGATTCCCGGTGACTACATAAAAACTTGGAAACAGCAAGTCATGCCCATGATCCAAGCACTGAGAAGGTAGAGAGGAAGATCCCTGGGGTAAGAGAGACCAAACAATCCATAATTCAGGTTCAATGAAAAATGTCTCTAAAAATAAGGTGGAGATTAACTGAGGGGGACACCCACTATCAACCTCTGTTCTTTGCCTACACGTGGACACATATGAATATACATGCACACATGCACATAAACACATGCAAGAAAATCGATAATCTACATCTTATTCACCTGCCTACACTTGGCATTTTGTATCAATGGGATTTTAAAATATATAGCTTTTGGGGTCTAGTCTTTCAGTTTCTGTGTTTCCAAGGCTCATAAGTATTAGTAGTATGCACATCAGCTCTTTGTTCCTTTTTATGACCAAGTAACATTCCAGTATATGGATAGTCTTCATTTTGCTTACTCCCTGATGACACAGATCCACACCTACTATTTAAAAAAAAAAAAAAACTCTAGTGGGAGAAGGAGGGAGGGAGAGAGAGGAACAGTTGCTCAGACACCCAATCAGAAGTCCCCTTCCAGTCTAAAAACAGAAAAGCACTGAATCCAGCTGCTCACATGCCATTCTGTTTTCCACCCGCAATGCTTGCTACCTCAAGAAGTCATCAAGGAGTCCTTGTTTCTTCAAGTGTCTTTTGGGAGGGGATGCGGAGTGGGCTTCACTAAATGAACAGAAATGCCATGAAATGGTTCTCTTATAGCAGCAAGGGAGGAGGAAAGAAAGCCAAGCAGCAGCCAATGCAGGGGATTATTTCATTGCTCAAACCTGAAATAAATCTAAGCAAGCCCTGTTCCAGGTACACACAGCCAAGAGAAAGAATGGAAGGACCAGAAATGTGGGTGGCTTTGTTTCCAAGAGGCTTCCCGGGTCCTAGTCTCACCATCTTTTGAGTAACTGCAGTCAAGCAAAGTAGGCACTCCCCCCTTCGTGCCCCTCTCAGGGAACCACTGAGCTGAGGGTATCTCTCACCTGGCCATCTGCTTGTAGGCTTCTTCTGCCACAGCAAAGATGTGAGGGTCCATGTCACCCATATTTTGGCCACTGTAGGCATAGATGACATCTTGTCCATAGATTGGCAGCTGCTCATATGGATTGATGGCAACAAGCACAATTCCTGTGAACAGACAGGACATCAGCCTAAAGCATGGTTCTTGTGTGGAGGCGAGGGGGGTGTGTAACCAGTCAACTACAGAAAGAACTATCTGTGAGCTGCAATGGAGGTCCTTGTGGTGAAAAGAATGAAGAGGGCATAAGCCTCAGGCTGTCCCACAGGAACACACAGCCACACTAACACTCACAAGCACCCAACAGCTGAGTTCATGACATAGATGCAAAGTATTGCAGGGACAGAGAGGAGAGGACCTTTCACCTAAAACTCCACCTGAGAATTAAGTCCAGAAAAGACATTGTCCCCTCATTTGTACATGAGCTATTTAAACAAAAAATATAAACTTGAGGACAGCATGATTTACCTGCCATAAAGTCTAATATTGATGTAATCAGTGTCTGTGAACACCAGGTTCTTATTTAGCCTCTGCTATAAAGTGGGCAACATACACATGGACTATCCTCAAGGAAGCACAGCCATTGGACAGAAGAAAGCCTACAGCAGTGCCCTGCATCCGAGTCTCTGTGTTTTCTCTCTACTGGATCATACCCACATCCCTGCACCCAAACATGCTGACCTGGTAAGGAGAGAATCCTGCTAAGGTTTTAAACCTCTTTTGTGGATAGGTGAGGCAAATTGATCACAAAATGCACAAAGAAGAAAAGCAAATTCCGTCTTCAAGACATGATAGCAATATGCCTTTTTGTTCTCTCCCATGAAGTTGCATTGCATATATCCAAAGACCCATGGACTAAATACAAAACTGGAAAATTTCCAGTCATCTGGGAAAGATGAGGGCCTGCCATGATGAGAAGTTTTCCTGTGTTGTGTTCCCTCCTAGTGGTCCAGTGGGAAGAGAAACACATGTATGTCCCCTTCAACAGGAATTTGAAAACAAACAAATAGAATGAAACAGTACAATAGGGATCAAAGCCCTGAGAAATCCCACTGAGGCTTATCATTTGGAGAACACTCTTAGGAGCAGCCATACACGTTCTTCCATTTTTCAGAGGGTTCAGTTTAACTCACATGACCACTCAGATGAAATTTTAATCTCATGAGGTCACCTATTTTCCCAAAACACTGTGGGCTCCTCCAGAGAGGAATGCTTCCACATTACTGCATTCTGGGTGGCACTGGGTTCTCTTGAGAGCCGATGGAACATTGGATCAGCTGAGGGACCTCTGGTCTGTACAGACATGGAGTTGACTCCAGGGGGAATTCCCTGAGACTGGAAAGCCGATGGTCATTTAGCTCTTTCCCCTAAAGGGGAGCTTTGCAACAGCTTCATATTGGAATTTTTTTTCTTGAGTTTCTGATAATTGATATTTCTCCTAAATTAACATTTACTACCAGTTGGAGGTAAAGGAGATTTTGTTAACCATTCCTTCTCAGTACTAAAACCTAGCAAAGCAGCTCACCCAGGCTAAGTAATCAACCCCCAAGGCCAAGAGGAATATGAAAGTGGAATAGCCTCTGGACACCTGAGCTGTCATAGCAGTAACAATGAGGCCAAGATCTTCAGGACAGCAACTTGAACATCCCACCCACAGTCTGGTTCCCTATCAGGCCCTCATTATTTCCAGACAACTGCTGGAAGATTCTATTCTCAACATACTACAAAACAATACTCAAGGGCAGAGGGGACTGGGGGAGGGATGAGGAATGGTGTGAGGAAGAGGAGGGAGAGAATAGATCAAAATTAGGGCTATACACATAAGAAATTTCAGGACTTTATGTTCTAAGCATTTGTTACTGATTTTGCACATTACCTGAACAACATCTCCAAGCACTACATTTTCACCTGGGCAGTGAGAACACCAGTGGGGAAAGCAGTCCTCTCAAGCAGAAGAAGGAAACAAAATCCATGTTGTACACATGTTCCAGAGTCAGGGTACCACAAAGGACTTGCTCTTCTACAAGTAACTACAATCAAGAGCCTAGACAAACTTTCCCAGAAGCTGTGGCCACTTCTCTGGCAGAGCTGTCATCAACATCAGGCATCCCCCTAACCATAACCCTCAATGGGTCTCATATGAAAGGTTCATATGCATGAGAGCAGAGTCATGGTTCTTAATGTTTTAATATCCTAAGTGCTGGCTAAAGATGACAATCCCCCTCAGCAGGTGCCCCCACTTACCACAGTAAGTGTAGATGTGGTTGGACTCCAGGAAACGGACTTTTAAGTTATGCAGAACTGCAGGCTCGTGGAGATGGCTGAGTGCAGTGAGGTCATTTTCTCCTACTAAGATGTCTGGATTCCGTAAGAATGGCAGATGGTTATTTTGAACATCAATTGGGTATTCCAGGATCTATCGACAAGCAAGCAGCAGACACAGAAGAGCAGTTATGAAGCATTTGGCTTATATTTGGTGTCCCACCACTATCCTAGCAAAATCATCAGACATACAATAAGCAATGTTCAAAAGAAGACAAGATGAATGAAATACCTACGATTCCCATAAGACACCAGGCCACGTGGAACTTTGATTACATAATCCCAGCACATCAAACACAAAAGACTAACGCAAGAACTGAGGCACAAGCAGACTGAAGGGTGGGGATTCAGCCGCTTGAGAAAGATGACAGTGAACTTTACATTTCAGTTAATATGGGAGGGCTCTCTCTTCCCAACTCACAAACCTTCCTAGACTGGTTTTCTTTACTAGCTCTGTCTCTATTTTCTTTTTAATCATTTTTCCCATACAATATATTGTTATCATATTTTTGCCCTTCCAACTCCCCCATAACCTTCTCACCTCCCTACCCATCCAACTTCATCATGTTCTCTCTCTCATTGTCTCAGAAACAAAAAAAGCAAACCAAACACTCAAAACAAACCAAGAAAAAAAAACCCATCAAGGTAAAAAATGTCTCCTCAAAACAAACCCCCCCCAAAAAAACCAAACCATGGAATCCATTTTGTATTGGCCAACTACTAGTAAGCATGGGATATGGCTGATAGGCATAGTGACATTCCACTGAAGAAAACTGAGTTTCCCTTTATGTGTGGGTATCAGTTTTAAGCAGCTCTTTGGTTAGGGGCTGGCCCTGTGTCCAGTGTCTACTTTCCTCTTAGTGCTTGGACCTACTGCACATGTCTCCTTACTAGCTCTGTCTGGCTGCCCATATGCTCACTTCTCATTTGGACTATCTTGCCATTAATGTTTTGCCCTGTGTAAGCAGACTCAAGCCTCAAGCCCAACCATTTGCATGTGCACCGCTTGCTCCACAGCCTATCTGTAAGTTCTTCCAGGACAATAAATTGTCCTTGGACATAACTTCATTAGGAACTCCAGTTCTGTGTAATTTGGGTGTGGTACAGTTTATCCAAAGGTCATCTCTCAGGACATCACCTTGGTTGTTTTGCTTGACTCAGCATTTGAATTGAGAGCTCAAAAAATATTTGACAGAACACATGGATGTATATATGTAATTTACTAAAAGCAGTTTAAAGGTGGGATATGTGGACATTTAAACAAGATAAGCGTGGCTATTGCTACCTTTTTAAGTGTTACATTTCTTACACGGCTCTTCAGAACTAGCCGGGAAGCTTGAAAACCTGTTTTCTGAGCATGCTTTTGTTTTGGAAATTCTAAAGCACGGCCTATAAGTTGGAAAACTTTAAATTCAACTAACTTTGATACACATGCCTTGTATGTTACATAAGAATCACTAATGTCAGAGCCACATCTATTAAGTCTCTCCAACATGCTGCCAAACATGAGCTACATAAGAATGACACCAATGGACCTGCCAAATGGATGGGGGAAATAATACCAGGCCTCAACCCTGCACAAAGACCTATAGGCACCTACAGAATGCTGAGTTGGAGAGCAAGTGTCTTCCCTAAGGAAGAGCACACAGATGGGCTATCCAGTACCAAGTAGTCAGCCCTAAAAATATGCAGAGTAATAGTGTATAGACAAAGCAGACTGTTTTTAGGAATATGTATGTATATACATAAACACATTCAGCAACCATTAATGAAAAAAAAAAGACCATGAATTTCAAAGAGAGTGAGGAGGAGCATATGGGAAGGTTTGGAGGGAGGAAAAGGAAGTGATATAATTATATCATAATACAAATAATAAAAAAACATATTTTTTTAAAAGGAGGCAACATGTGATTAAGAAACATCAGGAAAATGAAAAAAAAAAAAGCAATTTAAGTACATATATTCCATACACCAAACTTTCAGTCAAAAATTCACACTTGTTTGAATGTGTTCAGTGTGTACAGGTACTTCGAGTCTTTCTTTCCTGCTCTTTTTTTTTTTTTTAAGACATTGTTTCATGGAGTCTAGGCTGACTTCAAACTCACTATGTACATGAGGGTTGCCTAAAGCTCCTGACCATCCTCCTGCTTCAACCTTCCAAGTGTTGAGATGATCTGTGATATATCACCTTGTCCAGCTATAACAGTAAATCAGTTTTCAAGAAAAGATATCAGTGTTCCACTTTCAGGGGGAATCTGCATGGCCACGTGTAAGGTGTGCTGAAAAGCCACTAATTATTAAAGCATCATGGCAACATGAACTAAAATTAGCAATAAATAAATATAACAAAGAAAAATTAAATGCAAGCACATACAGGCAATTGTACACACACTAAAATTTCAAATAAAGGGTAAAATGAATATTTTGTTTAACACTAGTATGGTGGTTTGAAATAAAATGACCCCAGAGGGAGTGGCTCTATTTGAAAGTATGGCTCTATTAGGAGTAGGTGTGGTCTTGTTGGAGGAAATATGTCATTGTTGGGGTGGGCTTTGAAGTCTCCTCTGTTTAAGCCACACCCAGTAAGACAGACCACTTCCTGTTGCCTGCAAGTCAAGATTTAGGAATCTCAGCCCCATCTCCAGCAGCATGTCTGCCTGCAAACTACCATGTTGCACCAAGATGATAATGGACTAAACCTCTGAAAACCTAAGCCACCCCAGTTAGACATTTTTTCCTTTATGCTGTGGGCATGGTGTCTCTTCACAGCAATAGAAAGCCTGACTAAGACACCAGCTGGTACCAGGGACTGGGGTGTTGCTGTGAAAGGCCTGACCATGCTTTTGTTTGAAGGAATATGAACCTTGGTACTGTGGATTAGAAAAGCAGTTGAATGCTTGAATTGCTGCTTAATGGGCCATCTTAATAGGAGCATTGAGGAAGCTGAGGGTGATTTGAGCTGTAGGGGGCTGGTTCAAGAGGTTTTGGAGGAGAAGAATATTAGTGGGTTGCTTAGAGATCTTGTGATGTTTTGGTAATGAATGTGGCTGTTCTTTACCCTTGTCTGAAGAGTCTGCCTGAGGCTAAAGTCAAGAGATATGGATTAATTCCATTGGCAGGAAATCTCAAAACAGCCTAGTACAGACTCTGTTGTGTGGTTACTAGTGTTCATGCTTATAAAGATTTATAACAAAATTGAGCAAGTTGAGCAAGGAAATTAAAAAAAAATTGAGGAGAAAAAGAGCACCAGGAAGTGGAATGGAGCTAAGTCCTGTATTTAAGGAGATAAATAGATTAAGAAATAGAATAAAGTGAGTGTCGACCTTAGGTCAAGCCCCCACCTAGCTAAACTCCTTTGAAAAGGTAGTAAAGAAAAGCTTAGAGCTGAGTGTGGTGGGGTACACCTTTAATTCCAGCACTTGTAAGGAAGGGGCTGGCAAATCTCTGAGTTTGAGACAGACGGATCTACAAAACAAGTTCCAGAATTGCCAAGTTTAGACAGTGAAGTTACCATCAAAAGCAGAAACCTGGTAAAGATGTCATTAAAAGATCTCTGAGTTCAAGGCCAGCCTAGTCTACAGAGCAAGTTCCAGGACACTCAAGCTTTGGCAGTGAAGGAAACCATTGAAAACAGAAGATGAAGATGTAATTGAATCCGAGGGGGCCATGTTCCAGCCCCAGAACGCAACAGAACTTAGCAGTTCCGCCATGTGGTTCTGGCTTTAGAGTCAAGGATAGAAGAAAGGGGTTATGTACTCTCCTTCTATGACTGAGGAAAATCACCGAGGCCAAGCATGTGTCAGGGTATCTCTGAATGGAGACCCAAGGATGCCAGTGAGTAAACCTGCGAGATCCTAAGATGTTAAGAGTCCATGTCAGAGTCCATGGAACACCTGCCAAGGGGAGCTGCTAACATAGGGAGTGGAACCAGACCAAGGGAAAGAAGTGTGTTAAAGTCAGCAAAGCCGAAAGAAATTGGAGGTTTGAAGAGTGCTTTGACATCAGACATGGAGATGCAGAGTTTGGAGTTTGCCAAGATGGCTTTTACTCTTGATTTGGTCAAGTATTTCCTCAATATGCTTCCTTCCCTATGTTTTAGAATGGTAATATATGTCTTGTGCTATTATATTTTGGAAGTATATGATCTGTTTTTTTTTATTTTGTAGAGGATTACAGTTACAATAATGCATGAATCACAGAAGAGACTTTGAACTTTAGACTTTTAAGTAAGTTTGAGACTGTTAGAGACTATTGGGACTTTTGAATTTGGACTGAATGCATCTTTTCATTAAAATATGGCTACAGGCCTTTGGGGGCCAGGGAATGGAATGTGATGGTTTGAAAGAAAATGACCCCCAAAGGGAGTGGCACTCTTAAAAGACTTGTGGTTTTGTGGAGTAGGTGTGTCCTTATTGGAGGAAGTGTGTCACTGTGGGGGTGGGCTTTGAGATCTCATATATGCTCAAGCCAGGCCCAGTGCCTCAGAACATTCCATGTTGCCTGAAAGTCAAGGTGTAGAATGCGCTGCTACTTCTACAGGACCCTGTCTGCCTGCACACCACCATGAAGCATCAGGATAATGATGGACTAAATCTCTGAAAATGTAAGCCACCCCAGGCAAATGTTTTTCCCTTTATAAGAGAGGCCATGGCGTCTCTTCACAGCAATGGAAACCCTAAGACAATTGGTAAATAAACTAGATAGACATTTAGGGGAGAAATTAAGACATGGTTTTTCTCTTAAACTAACACAAAATTTAACTGGAAGCAAGAGAAAAATAAAGCCAAAACGAAGGAAAATGAGCATATTTTTTATGTTTCAGGGACGAGACCTTTAGAAGGAAGCAGAAACGTGTGGGAAGACACATCTAAGTTCCATTGTAAATAACATCAAAACTGCCACTAAGCATACTAATTGCAAAGACAAACTGAAAGGGGGCAATGTTTCTACTTCACATGGTAAAAGTTGGGAAGAGACCACACCAACAGAAAGATGGATACAAGAAACAGATACAAAATAAGCAACAAATAGGTGGCATGTGAAAACTACTGACCAGTAACAAAAGACTTCAGAGTTAGCCATTTCCTGTGCAGTGTGGGGATTGTGCCTGTGATCTCAACACTCTTCAGAAGAAAGAGAGAGCATGATTCCAACCTCAATGTTAGGCTTTGCTAAATAAGACCTCCATCTCAGAGAAAGCAAGTCTGCAGCACTGGCATCCCACAGTGTAAGCCAGGCGCTGCAGACACTGTAAAGACCCTCATGAGGAAAATGAGAGCAGTGACCCTCACATAGTGAGGCTGCTGCCATCTCCCTGCAGAACAGCAGGCAACACACATTCAGAGTCCTTTCTTACTTTGCTCCCCTTTAAAAGTCTAGCAAGATAAGCTCACCATTTAGCCAAGACACGGACCCAGGAAAGTGGAAATGGTGGAGGTGGGAAGTAGCATGGATCTGTAGAGATGACCAGACATGCCAGGACATTGTTTCAAATGTGCTAAAGAATAACTTATTTCATACTACACAAGTCTGTCCAGAATGATGTCTCTAAAATATCATTATTTCTGTGTGTGTGTGTGTGTGTGTGTGTGTGTGTTGTGTTGTGTTCTGCTTGTGAGTGTGCCATATTCTGTTGGATCCTGTTTTTTTTCCTTGAGGCAGGATTTTATTTGGCCCTAGTTGTCCTAGAACTCACTATACACACCATGCTAGTTTGAATGGATAGAGATCGACCGCCTCCACCTCCCAATGCTGGGAGTAAAGGCATGTGTGCTAATGCCTAGTCTGTTGGATTTTTCACTCCACATTTATCAATGCCCCGTTCTGTCCTTGAAATCTCTGTAGCAAGCATTCCCCATACTGTAAAATGCTTGACAATTAGCATGGAGATGTTACAGACAATAATTCAGAGGTGGGAACAAGTAAATGCGGAGTGCTGAAGGTTAACTTTCAGCTCATTAAACTCTGGAGTTAACCATAAGTATTCTGAATAAAACGCCCAAGGTCTTCAGTTTCTGAAAAAATTTTGATTTGTTTTGGTTAAGGATTCAGGAGGTTTCAGTCATGACCTCTTGGCTCCATGCCTCTTTGCCTAAAGCAATGCAGATCCTTATGGTAGAGAATGAATGTGAGGGCAGGATTTCTCAGTCTGCTGCAGCCAGATGGAGTGATAAAGGAGAAGGGGACCAGGATCTCAATCTTATTCAGGGGCGTGTCTCCAGCATCCCTTATAATAGGCCTTCCTAAGGTTTATACCACTTCCTAACAGGAACAGTCAGGCCTTCAACACAGGCACCTTCATGGTATACCAGCCTTTGTCATCTGCTGAGTTAGGGGACCGTGCCAGGCCTCCCTCCCAGAGCGCTCAATCTTTCAAACAGAAAAGCCTTAAATTCAGGCCAATGTCTTCACATTCCAGGACAGAACCATGGACTTTCTATCATTCCTAAATGTCTTCTCTCTGAAGACCTTGCCAGACAGGAAGAGACAATCGCACATGAAATTTGGGGGTGGGGGGAGAACATATCCACAGATAAGCTAGAGGTACTGGTTACAGAAAATTGATAAGGAATGAAATGCCTTGCACAGCACAGGAGAGGTAGAAGTTGCAAACTCAGCACTCCAGGCCACAGATTCCTCAGCTTGTGGGTGTCCAGGGGGAGCAGGGAAAGGATACTTAAGAATGGATTTCTTTTAACCATTGACAACAGGAACTTGGATTTAACACTGCTATCAGAGTCCAACAGTCTCAGCTAATTCTGGCTTCAGAGGGTTTCCCCAAGTATTTGCAACCCAGTAACACGATATATGAAGAATGATTTGCTGCATTGCTCTTCAGTGTGGTCCCACAGAGGTAAGGCCACAACCTGCCCAGAGCATGCTCTGGGCATGCTCTGGGTGGAGGTCGAACAGGCCTGCCAATAGCTCTAGTCTTTGGATAGTTATTTAAATATTCAAAATAATACAAGTGCTAGGTAGACTTAAAGCACTCTTAGTAACAGGATAACATCCTTTCTCCACACTTGGTTAATGATATAACATCCTTGCCCTTAAGCGTAGACAGAATCACAATGCAGGGAGAGCAGGTCACTCTCTGCCAGTCTCATCACTCCACTGAAGCCTCCCACTCACAAGCATGCACACAGGAAGTCCCACTGAGGCTTGTAGGTGCCTCACACAAATTTAGCTGGAATGCGGCCAAGTAAAAGCACAGAAACAGGGAGTTTTCAGCCAGCAGAGGGCAGGAGTGGAGCAGTTTGCAAGGAGGTGGGAACAGGAGGTGGCACTTGACCTGTACTGAGCTCTGCTCTGGTCAAAGCATAGAGAGACTGCTCTCATCAACCCAAGGCTGGCATCCACCAAATGCCCAGCACAATCTAAAAGCAGAGAACCAGACCAAGAATTAGCACACAAGTATACCATACTCATCTTGACTCTAGAGAGGAAAATAAGATAGATGACACTATTCTTTTCTCCAGAGATGTCACCATCTTCTGGCTGGCTGTCAAACAGAACATCTTACATTATGGAAAGTGACCTAAGCCAGAGGAAGACATGCGCACCCATGTGGTATGATGGTAGCTAGTGTGACCAGAGTCAATGACAGAAGGTGGCCCAGTGGCAGGCTGTAAAAAAAAAAAAAACAGGAAAGGTGTTCAGGAAGGGGGTAGATCCAGTTTTGCCATATGGAAAAAGAGCATGGTAACCGTTGCAGTAGTGCAAACGCCACTGGATTGTTCACTTAGAAATGGACCACCTGGTTACATTTATATTCCACAGTTTACTAGAAGAAATACTAGAACAAATGCAAAAGTGGGAGGGGGCATCTGAGGTGAATGGTGAGGAGCCTCATCACAGGAGGCCATTGGCAGTGAAGTAAGCAGTCCTGCTGTCAGCCTGGGGTTGGATTTCCTAGCAGATCTGGCCTACCTTCTTTGCATTTGCTTCTGCACTGAAACCAACCCCACTTTATTTTAGGGGCTGGGAGGCCATGAAGGTAGCACAGGATGGCTTCAGCTTCAGAGGAACTGCTCTGAAGCACTCAGCCTCCAGCCATGCAGTGCCTGTGTCCCTACCTCCAGTGGACAGTGCCCAGTCACTTTGGGGGCCAGCTTTGCGCCAGTCATAAGCCATGGGCAACAGAGACAGAGACTCATATGCTCAGAGCCCATGCTGATCTCCATCCCCAGGCTCTCTTCCAATTCCACAGTGACCAGTCTCATAGCTGGAGAGTTAGAGATGAGCCATGGGCAGCTGCCAGGATTTGTCATTCAGGGCCAAAGCTGTGTGCAGTCAGGGACACAAGCATCTGCTGTTTTAGCAACATGACAGATCAGCCCTCGCTGCCTCCACACAACTTTTAACAACATCCACCCACTTGAAAAGGCCTACTGAAATGAAATTTGTTGGAGTAGAAAGCACTCCATTCAAGCAGGTGAACTAAATCCATTCTGTTTCAGGTGCAGGGTGGGAAGTTATTCAACATGGTAAAAGAGTCCATCTGCTGACAATTTTGTTTCTTCCCTCAAAACCAAGAGATGACTATCAAAACCTGTCAACTGGTGGGGGGGTGGTGAAGGACATGCTAACTAACTCCAATTCACCTGCTCAATGCCATACTCAAAGTGACACACTCAAATTCATATAGAAGGAGTTGGTGGTTGGGGAATGTTCAATCAACAGGTTGCTCAACCAACCATTTGGAATGGGAAACAAAACAAAGTACACTGAAGAATGAACAACAGCAAGACAGTTAATAATTGACAGGCAAACTACACAATACAGACATTCCAGACCCTGGCGCTCAACACAAACCTTCAGTCCACTCTATCCTGCTCTGCAGCCCATCCATCTAGCTATCTGTCTGTCTGTCTGTCTCAAACCCAGTTCTGCATGTCATCCCACCACTTTGATTAAAACCAGCCTCCCTGTGTATACCTGGTGTAAAATGGCTGCCCATCACCTCAGCCTCAGGCCACCTGGGTCCCAGGTTCACTGGTCTACCTCCCTTACCTTGTGCATATGCACCACTGGGGGCTCAGGCATTGGGCACACTTAGCTCCTGCATGAACATTACCCACTGTTGGCCCAAGGCTCCCACCACCTATTCTGTTCCTGGGGATTGTTCCCTCCTGCTGTTGCCTCAACACAGCAGACCTGTCCCCTTCACTCCAACATAAAGACTCTTGTCTCGACTACCAGCAGAGCTCCAGTTGCTAACCTGAGTGGACAGACTCATACTTCGTCACTCTCCACATACACTATCATCAACAGTGACAAAAGAATTTGGAGTTCAGAAACTCCAGTGGGCAAGCAAATCTAGGGCCCCCACCTTAAGGATCAGCACTTACTGTGTCATCTTCCAGTCTGAGCTGCAGGCTTTTATCCCCCTCTTTGTAGTCCTTGGTTAATTCACCTGAGCGCCACACTTCATCTGGGTCAGGGATCCAGACCCTTGTGTACTGAAAGATGAGAAGGAAAGAGACTTAGACCTTCTGTGAAGCATCCAATCCTATAAGCACATGCCACCATCTATGAAGAGTTTGTCGTGAAAATATTCTACAGCAACATCCACTTACCCTGCTCCCCCACTAAAGACACAAGATGACTTAATGTTATAAATAATAAATAATTCACAGGACTAATTTACAACAGCACCCTCTCAATCTTAAGAGAACTTGACAGTGATATTAAAATTCTTCCAGGAGACAGATGAACACAGGCTTAGATCTAACTATGGGGGTTTTACACTACCCTTTTAAAAGGAGACACAAAACAGAAGGATGGGGCATGCTATAGTTAACAAAATAATTCTGGCCAAACACAGGGAAGTAGAGCAAGACTTCACAGTATAGGTTATGCTGTTCTGATAGTCTACATTCAGCGGAATTGGCTGACAAGTCAAAGGCACTGTTAAATTGTATGAATCCAAAATGTCTCCTCATGCTCTAAATGATTTTGGGCCCTGGTGCTGCTAATCCAGGAAGCCCTGACCCTTTAGTAGGTTTGGCCTAGTCAAGAATGGGGGGTTATGATGGTTATACCTGCCTCCATCCCCTGCCCTGATCCAGCCACTGTCTTCTGGCTCTGTGGCCCACCATGATGTAAACAGCCTCAACCACACAGTTTCATTGACTATGGACATGGAAATCAATTGTTCAAGCTTCAGGAACCTACTTAGTTGGAATATATCAAATATATATTTGAAGGAGTGCTGGGACAACTCCTAAATATGGGGGTGGGCATTGATAATGGCTACTTAGTCCATGCAGGAGAAGGTAAATTGGGCTGTGAAAGAAGAACCAGGCAGCTACATTCTAATGTGGCTTTAGAAAGGCATTGCACATTCAGATCTTATTAGGCAAACTTCAAACCAAAATCCAGTCAACACTTGGCACTTAACCTGTGCCAGTCTGTGGCAATGCTGTCATGATTCTCTGCAGTCTCCCTCCAGTAATAACCTGTGTGACGTTCCTCTTCTCTTCTGAATGCAGGGTGGCTACATCTGCAGGCTGGCTTCCCTGTGCCTCCCATTTCTTACATCTATCCTCTGTGGGCTCTCTGCTTGAAGCTCCTACAAATTACTGAACAGGGTAGCTCATGCAGCGTCATAATCAGTGCACACAACGGGCAATTTACAGCATGTTCAAGAGTAATTTAATGATACACCAACTTTGAATTCTAGTTTTGCAAACACTGCCCCCACACACACTTGCCACATGACTTAAAGTAAGGCATGGTCTCTGAAATATGCATAAAGTATCACCAGCACAAAATAAACAAGAAAGCAGACTGAAAAGGGAGAGACAAGTGCCACAGTAACTTGAGAAGGGAGGGTAGCCAGGTGTGATGGGGCTCTGGAGAGGAAAAGGATCGGAAGGAGACATCTCTGGGAGTGATGCAAACAAATGCTAGACAGAGTGCATGTGCTAAATATGACTTGAAATGGTTCCCTTTACATTCGGCTCATTTGCTCTCAATTAAAATGATGTGAGAATAAACCTTGAGTAACTGCAGCAACCAGGAAAGAAAATGGGCAGGGGGAGAGGGGAGTAGCAGGGTACAGGTGACTTGAAGAGGGAAAAGGGCAAAAGGGAGAGATAACTACTACTGTGATAATGTATTCAAAAGTTGTAAGGAAGCATACTGTTATATCCCTGACTAAAATAGCATCATATATGTGATATATAACTTTTGGCAGGGAGATAACGTATATACATATATATCTCTGTGTATACATACACATATACAGTTGAAATGCAGTCTTCTCATGTGGGCTGATAATGCTTCCCCCAAGGGCCATAACTAACAAAAACCCCAAGCATGAGATCCCCCTTTTGATCTTGGGTGGGGCTGTCCAAGAGACTACCCTTTGTTGTCCCAGAGATGGAAGGTAAGTCCTCCTTGCTGAAGACATCATGCACTTCAGATACAAGACCCAGAGGACCAGAGCTGGGATTGGCCTCAAAGCCACCTCCCAGAGGACTAGCTTTCATGGTATCAGACAGAGCCATCCAACTTTCCAAAGGAAGAGAGAAGGGGTCTTCCCCCAGAGAAGAGCCCCACAGAGAAGAACTTATCTAATAGCAAGCAGTCAGCCTGGAGATTATATACATACAGGTAACATTATAGGCTGAGCAGGTTGTATTTGTGTACTAAGGAGTGTGTGTGTGTGTGTGTGTGTGTGTGTGTGTGTGTGTGTGTGTGTGTGTATGTGTTTATATTCCAATAACTAAAGAGACCATGAATTTGAGAGAGAGCTGCTGGGTGTGTGTGTATCAGAAGGGTTAGAGAAATAAAGGGGAAGGGGAAAATAATGTAATTATAATTTTAAAAATTTATTAAAAACCAAACAGCAAACCTTCCCTAATGTCCACCACACTGTTTTACTGCAGAGGGTCCAAAACCATGATGTATGAAAACCTTCTCTTGTCATGTGTTCTTAACTACTAATCTGTAGGAAAACTGTAGCAATATATATGTTCAAGAAACTTATCTTCTTTTATTTGTGTGTATGTGTACCTGCCTGAGTTTATGTGCACCAGATGTGTGCAGATGCCTGCACAGGAAGGAAGAGAGCATCAGCTCCCCTGGAACCAGAGTTAAGAGGTACCTGTGAGCCACCATGCAGGTGCTGGGGGTCAAATTTCAGTCCTACACAAAAGCAGTAAATCCACTTAACCACTGATCCATCTTATGAGCTGGACAGAAACAGTTCTAAATTGAGTGTGTGTGTAAGGAACTGGGGGACCAAATCTAGTACCTGGCATATGTTAGGTCAGAGCTTTGCCACCGAGTTACCACCAGCCTTTTATTTTTCACACCTGTGAGAGTTCCTCTCAGATGCGACCTCTAGCAGCTTCACTGTATGTAAGACATCAACAATCTGAGGATGTTTGCTCTGTATTCTAATTAGAGTTACAGAATCTGTCACTACCATATTTTAGGCACACTTAGCTCCTTTATAAAAAGCCAGTGAACTATTCTTATATTCTTCTTATTATTATTATTATTATCATCATTACCAAGTAAGAGGTGATCTGGGGAGGAGCCCCATATATAAACTAGGGATGCCTGCATCAAACATTAAAGATCAGCACGGAGCTGCTCTCCAGGCCTTTGCTCCTTGCCTGTCTCCAGTGGCAGCTGAGCATTCAGCTAGAGGGCGGGTGCCTATGACAACAGTACTCTGTGCTCTGGCTGCACATTACAGTCACTTGGGGCTTATGAATTCCCAAGCCAGGCAACACCCTAGATTATCTCCATCAGCCTGGGGGGGGGGGGGAATCAGGCAGTGTGGAAGCTTCCCAGATGAATCCAATGCACAAGCACCTTGAGAACCAGCAACCTATGTGGTTTGTCTGAGAAACCTCTTTGGGTAAAGTGATCCCCATGGGTATAGAGGCATCCTTTTGCCAGCATTCTCAACTAAAATGCTGCAAGCAAATGCAAACACCATGTCTGCAATGCACACCATTTGTTCACATATGTATAGCTTTACATAGCATAGCACTGTGGTAGGTGTCTGGGCTCTTTAAGGCAGTTCAGTGGCCAAGCCATAACTGTCTTGAGTGGGCTGTTGTGTCTAGATGCCACTCTCCTCAGATGAACAACAGGGTGAAAACTGTATCTACCTCAAATAGTTACCAAGAATTACAGGGATATCAGAGAATGACAGGGGTGATACGAAGTACACTATGTTGTATGAAAAGCAGGATCCTGGTAGGATTCTAGATAGCAATACCAATTTAGACATAAGTCTGCTACCTCAATTATTTTAGTGTTCTTGGGTCTCTGCACTTAAGCAGTTAAACCTTGCCTTATGTGTGGTAACTGGATCTAGCCCCTTTCACTCCACAAACTGAGAGAGGTGACTCTTGGTGCTGGCTGATGGAAAAATATCTATCTGTAGATCTTTAAAACACAAGGACACTATACCTACATCCTGAATTTGAATAATTAACTCTCTAGGGGGCAGATCCAGAGCAGTACATTAGAACAAAACAAAACAAAAACTCCAACTTTCCAAATGATGAAATAATCACATAATCATAATCACTACGTCAGTGAGCCTCAGAGCAAAGAAGAAACATGCAGTAAGAGAACACAGGCACTTTCAGGATTCTCTTCCTGGCATTATTAGTGCTACCTCCATCACCTTAAGCTGAGGTAACTCACATCAAGTCCTTTGGTCATGTCAGCCTGGTCTCAAATCCAAGTCAAGGAGAGTGGCATTATAAACAGAAGAATCCAGTGGTTAGACACAGTAGACAATCTACCCAGGCTTCTGAGAGCTGAATGTGTAGGGGTTTTGCAGACCCAGAGTAAAGACCCCAGCTTCTGTCTCTAAGTCCTGATCTTCTTGGGGAGGAATCCATATCCTTCTGGCAGGTATTTTATATTAATAAAGTGTCGCATATAACAGTGTCATATATGAAAACAAGTGTAAAGGCATAAAAAGGTAAGAACCCCAGGGAGTTTCTGTGTTATACACCAGATACACTGACAATTCAGGTACAATGATGCCTTGATCTAAGGCAAAACAGTTTGGATTATGCTCCCTAAAAAGAGCCAGAGATGGGCAAATGGCTTAGTTTGATGGCTGAAGGCATTCTCTGCCTGCTGACACCTATCTGTGTTTGGAGGCCAAGTGTTGAAAGGTCACCTGAACCCCATGTGTTTTGTACTATAACTAAATATCATGCAGAGTCACTTAGCCCAGGCTGTGGGTAGGGACTTCCTAACAGAATGGAACACACACACACAGTGAACAAACACTTGGCCAGGGACATACCTTTCTATTGCTGTGATCAAACACTATGATCAACAGCAGTTTGGGGGAGGAAAGGTTGATTCCATCTTACACTTCCAGATAGCACTCCAGCACTGAAGAAAATCGGAGCAGGCAGGGACCTAAAGTCAGGGACTGACACAGAGGCCTTGGAAGAGAGCTATTACTGGTTTGCTCCACCTATTTTTCTCCAGTGCCACACTGGGCTGGGTCCTCCCACATCAATCAACAATAAGAAAATTGCCTACAGGACAATCTGGTGGGGGCATTTCCTCCATTGAGCTTTCTCCTTCCCAAGTGACGGTCGCTTGTATTGAAATAAAAGCAGCCAGCACAAGGCATAAATTCTGTCTGGAACCCATTGAGGAAGAAACATCTGAGTGAGTCAGCTCCCATCCCTAAAGGAACACAGAAGACAAACATCTCCAGTTAGGGCCAAGTCCAAGTTAGAACGTAGGGCCTGATCATAGACTGAAGCCACCACCACAGAAATGAGATAGTAACCGGGCTACCCATTTCCAGTGGAAATGAGTGTCAAAGGGGGAAAACTCGGGTGCCATCTGTATTAGTTGCTTTTCTTTCTTTTTTTTTTTTACAGTATTTAATTTTTTAATTATGCATATATGTATGTATCTCTGTGCATGTTTACACACA